GAAAAGGTTGCCACAACCCTTGTAAAAAAGAAACAGAATTATGCAAAGAAGCAATGGTGTTCCAAAAAAAGACAACAAACAAACCATCCTTATCCCAAAGGCCTTCCCCCTCTAGCATATTTTATTTCTTATTTATTATCTGCTTTTTGTGTCCATACTATCTAGACCTGTAGGAAACCTCTCATTTTACCATAAAATTACTACAAGGATGGACAGAAAAATAGTTCTACCAGCATTTCCAAACAAACAAACAAAAAAAACCCCTGAGAAAATTAAGAACTGATTAACAGACTGGGGGGTGGGGGGGAATGTGTGGTTTTGACTGTTTGTTTGTTTGTTGTTTGTATTTGGTTTTGTTTTGTTTGTTTGGGTTTAATTTTTTTTTTTTTTAATGCCAGTGTCTACTCTGAAATGAGGTAGCTCTGAGCCTGGAAGGCTCAATTTAAGCATTGCTTTGCTTAAATTTCCATGTTTCCCAAGCAAGCGGTTTTTTTTGCACAACATTGACTGCTTGTTAACAGTCACTAAGTACCTCCAGTGAACCATCACAGTCTCCATCAACAGAGAAATGGATGAGGTTTTATTTTCTAAATCTTTACCTTAACTTCAGTCATCCAGTCATGAGAGAAAGCTGCCTTGAGACCAGTCTTGGAAGGTCAATCTTGGAAGGTCAGGTGGGACAATCAATTGGATGAGGAAGAGCTCTTTAAGCTACAGTGAGCTCACAAAAAGAGCATAGATATACTGTGGGATGCACCACTATCAGAACTTTACTGCTCAGCAACAATTTCCTCACTTAGATGATACAATTATATCTGAAATTGGGAATTTGGAGCTTAATTCAAAAGAACATAGAGTAAGTCACTTCTTTTTAGAGCAAATTACAGAAAATGACAGAAAATATACTTTAGCAGGAAATTCTAAAGTATATTTTATTTGAGCAACCTGAGCAAGTTTTTGCTCAGGTTGCAAGTTACTTCCTGAGGAAACACTTCAAGATTCCCTCCAAGTATCCACTTCAGAGACACACATAAATGAAAAGAATTTTTCTTCATTCTGTTTTCACCTTGTGACAACACTTGATTTCAGCTCTGCTTCACGGTATGTAATCTGTCTCTGAAACATTAATGCCTATGGCTTCATATCAGGTTGTTGATGTTGAACTTCACCAACAGAAGATTGAAAGCAAATAACTTTGGTTCTTACACACAAAAATCTCATTGTGGTTCACACCATAAACATGGCAAGGTATGTTCGTTTAGAAAACTGACCTGGTGTCAGTGTAATGTCAAACTAGGAATGCTGCCCATTCTTCTAATCTCCTTAGCTCTCCTTCTCTACATCTCTTCCACCCTCATCTGTGTCAAAATAGTTGCAAGCCACTGCTGGCACTTAAAGAAAAGTGTGCTTCTACAAATAGATGATCTTTCTGAAGCACTATCTGCTGACCAGGGGGTAGAAAGCAAAAGGGAGGAATAATTTTGCTTTCTTAAGGTGCATGTCTGCACATAGCAGGAGAACTGAAAGGGATCCAGGGATCCCTTCTTTTTATCTGAGATTAGGGTTTTCCTTCTCTCCAGAACTCATTTTGCTGATGATAGCCCCCATATTGTCTCTATCCACTTTGAAATGCATTATTATGTCTCTATATATTGTACAAATTGTGTGATAAAATTCTTCCCTCCTATTACGCAAGTTTTCATCTCATTCAAAACAAATCCAGAACCCCAAATCAAAATGTGGTATGATCAATACTGTCACTCATTGATATGGAAAATACAAGGTAAGATTTTCTGTAGAAAGGAAGTGTTGTAACACAAAATCAAGACAATTAATGATGATTTTTTATTCTAAGCTAGTTCCCCATAATTTTTCTGTGATTTAAAGTTTAGTTGGTGTATTCAGAAAACTGGCAGTTACTTCTTCTGTGTATATGTGTATATTTATTTACCAAAATAAGGCTGACAAAGAAAGCTAGAAAAGTTGCATTACAGCTAAAATGGTTATGTATGCCTGGAGCTATTTTCAGTTTTCTGTGGTCATTTGGAGAGTTTTGCTTCTTTTTTCTTCCCTTTTCCTTTTCTTCTTTGTAACTGTGATAACATAAGAAGAGCTGGATTTTCATTATTGTCAGAAGAAGATTAAAAGCTTTTCCTGGTGAACTGTCTAATCTATCCAATTTGTGGGCACAATGAACAAATACATAGTAAGTAAGGATTTCACAGAACAGTTACTACAAGTTTTATGAAATCTTAAACACAAAAGGAAGGTGCAGCAAAAATACATAATGTCATTGCAGATTTACATAAAAATAGAAACCAATTCTTTCACTAATCATTTATAAGGCACATATTCTGAACAAATATTTTCCAACAGCACTGAACAGGGTGTGTAAAATAATGATTAATGGTCCCTCTAACTTCAACATGCAAGGATCTGCTCCACATGTGCAAAATACACATGTGTATATGTGTAGACACAAACATGTATGCACAGGCTCACGCACACACACTCCTTTTTCAGCTGAATAGAAAATCAAATCTTATAAATAATAGCTACCTTGCAGCAGTTCCATACACACCACTTCCATTTTTATATAACATCAAGCCCATGCAGTATGTTAAAAGGAAGAATTAGCTACAAAAAGTCAAATTCAGCCATTTTTGACCATTTCTTCAAGTGACAAAAGCAAGACAGTAATAAACTTTAGTGGCTTTGCAGACAGCAGTAAACTAGAATTTCAGATAAGAAATAAGAATATAGAACCTACACTTAAAAATAAAAAAAAAACCAGCGTTTTTATTTCTGATCTTCTATTTTGAGTTTTCAGAAACAAATAACTATGTTTGTTATGCTTCCCTTACTTACAATCATGCAAGTCAATGGAGGGCACATATTTACTTCTATATTTTTATACTTCCTTCAAAATACATATACTGCATCAACACAACACCTCCAGTTCCTGAAAATTTGTCCCAGAAGGTCCTACTTGGCACCACTTTTTGAGGCCCATAAATTTTCACACCAGTTCCAAAACTTCAGACCTTGACTATTAGAAAGAATTTACACATAATCAATTTAAAAGAAGTACCCAGTATATTTTATATTGCCAAAACAGAAATTTTCTATAATTCTCAATAGTGGAGACATTAATAAGTTGCACAACACATTAAAATGAAATAGACATTTTCAGGTTTCTCCTCTCATCTTGTATAATATAGGAAGGAAGGGAAGTGGGTCCCTGATTTAGAACATGAGTACTTATCCATTTGGCTAAGAACTCATGTTCTAAATGAGTTTTCCAATGTCATTTGGAAAATCTATCAAGTCTGATGTGCATGTTGTTCTAAAAAATGCATTAATTTAGTTCACTGATTTTTGACAAAACTCAAAATTAGTGACTGACAAAAAATGACACATTTTTATTTGCTCTGATTATGCCATAGATAATACTCTTAGCCTGAGTCAAAACAAGACAAGGTAAAGATGATTCTGAACTGTTTTACAATCATGAATAATACATAATCATGTTTTTCATATTTGATTTGCTCTTTGAGTTTCAGGAAAACTTTAGAAGTTCCATTCCTTGCAAAATTCCTATTGTTTTGAAATTTACTCTAAGCCAGACTTGGAGAGCTATAGTACCTTTCTAAGAGGATTAGGAAAACATGAGCTTTAAATAGAAGATACTGTGAAGTGCTTGGAAGTCACAGCTCAGATTTTAAGTGGATCAAAATATCAGCATAGAAATCCTTTCTACATGACAACACCACTTTTTATTACTTACAGAGCACGCCATTGATTCTGATACCTCTAAAATAGCATCTTACTGTGTACAACTATCTATATTCTAGTCTCATACTTAGTCACAGTGCATTCTTGAACAACACAACATTAATTACAGTTCTGGGCTTCAAATACACCAGTTTCATTTATCATTTGGTTCAACTGCATGATTATATACTTTGTGACTTAAAATTCATGAGTAGTGTAGAAAAGTATAACAATCTTCTTATTAGAGCTGACCAAGCTTTAACTGTGAAAGGATCAATTCCACTGCTCACCTGGCAATCAAAGAAAACCAGGGGAAAAGAGGGAAATATTTGATGATATAAATAAACAATATTGTTACTTACCTTATTTTAGATACCCTGACTATGTGAGAGGAATGCTGAAATATGAGTGCATTGCATGCTAGGCTGAAGCTTTTCCTCTTTGTTTTCCTTCTCTTAGTAAGAAAGGACCCTTAGGGTCAGGTCCTGCTCCCAATGAAGACAAAAGCAGGAGTCTTCACTGGGGTTCAGGAGCAGGACAGGGACTTTAAACATTCCTCTTCCCTTTTTTATCTTTCTGTATGGGCTTTTGTTCCTGGAGGCTATGCTGATATGAAGCTTTTAAGATTTCTGGAGTCACAATAAAGAGTTGGAAGGCTTATGCTCCTAATGAAGCATCATGTTATCATCTAATTTATCTGAAATCACTGACCCCAACTTGCCAGTATTACTCACAAAAATTAAAGTATTGTATTAACTCTTGACTTAAAAAACAAAAGTAATCTTTAAAAATGTATTTTATGCCACTACAGGTACAAGCTCTGATCCGAGTTGCATAACTGCCATTCATTTGCTCAGATTTCAGTTCCCACATTCATACATAAAAAGCTGGTCTTAGCAAACCATCATCCACTGCTGATACCAACATGTTGTCTCTTTGCATTTCCTGGCCTACCTGTAAACAAGGCTTCTAAGAGACAACAGTTTCCATTGATCAGGACAGAAAGTAACTACACCACATAATTCTAAAAGACATTTGTATATTGTTTCTTGCAGATGTTTAATAATCAAAGAAAATTATTATCTCAGAAATTTATTTACAGCTGGAAAATCTTCTCTCTTGAGTGGTCTATATGCACATACATGTAACACAGATGCCACAGATGAAATTATGGTAAACCACGTTTGGTGAGAGTCCTGTATCCAAAGAGTGTGTGTCTCACTCACCTGTTTGGCTAAGTTGAGATGTGCTTCTGCTCCTTCGAGACACTATGGCAACCACCTTGGCACTAAAGCTGGAACGCCTTTTCTTCCCACCTGTTCCAACCATGCCGACGGCCGTGTCCGACTGGCTCCCGTCAATGTGCTCCAGCTTGTACATCTCTCCGCTCACACTTGTGCTCTTTGTGATCCTCCCTGAAGTCCCCATCCGTCTGCCTTGCATTTTAGGAGTAAATGTACTACAGTTACAAAGTAAAAACAAACATGTTAATTTGTCTGTGTAACAGCATTTGCAAAAGCCTTACTTTTTTTTTAATCAGTGAATTAATTTTAAGCCTTGATACATTTCTGTTTATTTGGTTCACAAGTAAAAGCTTAATTTGATGCTCCTCGGAGTACATATTTCCAATACTATTGTTTGTCCTCCACTTTGAGGGGAACAAATAAAATGAACACTTCCCCATGTTTTTCAGAGCAACAGAGAGACACTTAAAAGTTATGTGAAGCTTTCCTCTCTGTATCCCCACAATACAGAAATAAATAAAACAGCAATTTTACAAGCAAAGAAAATTAATGTGGGGCAGTAGTTTAACACATGCATCTTATCAGTGCTGTTCACCAAAGCCTTAAGACCTAACAGAAATAAAAATGTCATCTAAATTTTCATACTTTTCACAGAGATCATGTAATATGTAGTATATTTTAGGTCTTCAGTCTCTCACTTAATTAAAGGTAAGTGCAATAATCACAGTATGAAGGCAAATAATTTTGAGGCAAAATCCCTAATAACCCACTAGAATTTTCATTGATTGACAGAAAAAGAATCACTCTGTCAGTTCTGTTTGAGTTCCTTTAGCTCTTGCATTGCATTTGAATGTTTCTATACAAATCCTTTTTCTGCTCCACTGTATAGAGGCAGGATAAAGTATTCACAAACACAGTTTAGAGAACAGTCTCAAATACACACAGGACATACTAATACCCAGTCCTAAGTCTGCTGTGACCAAGCAATGCCCTAGTTCTAAAGGCAATATAAAGTTAGTTGCCACTCTGTAGACAAGCAGAAATTTAAGTTGCAGCTGGACTCACTTCAGATGCAGTTGTTAAATCAGCCAAGCATGTAGGAAATTCCTTGACCTTGTATTGCTGATTAATAGACCTACTGGTAACATGCTATTTTAGGAATTTTTTTTTTCCTTCAGTTTTCAGTATTTTGAAGTCAAATTCATTTGTTAACCAATAGTCCTGTGGTCTCTCCCAGCAAGTTCTGTCCCCTGCAGATGCAATGGTCTGCTTCTGGCCCCATTCCCATCCACCCCTCACTACCTCTCCCCCAGTCAAAATTAGAAAGAGTGGGTTAGAGGCTTTTTTGTCATGGCAAGTTTCAGACAGACAGGAAATCAGGCCAGGGGAAAATGAAGGGTCAATGAGAGAAAATATAATATCCTGTAACTTCTATGGATCTGGGCCCTGGTGGAGTTTGAATCGGTCCTGTCCCAAGACAGAGCCAGGAAAATATAAAAAATTGTATCCCTAAACTACAATTAAAACAGTGTTGCCCTGTTTTACTGGCAGTTTCCAAGTTACTAAAGTGTGACCATAGGTAAGAGCACATAAAAAAACACAGTATCCTTTGAAAATGAAGTCGGAAAAGTTAAGTCTTTGACTAGACAACACTTAATAGAAAAATCACTATTAACCTCTTCATAGGCTTTTAACTATCTTCAGCACTTAGAATCTGCTCCTGTTAAGCTCAGATAAAAAAAACCAAAAAACAAAAAACAAACAAAAAAAAAAACAAAAAAAAAACCACATATACCATCAAACAGAAAAAGCTGCTTGACGCACCAAAGTATTCAAGAACACATTTTAGTGGACAATCTGATGTACACTGAGCTTAAAACAGGTTCTGTTGTGTTCCCTCCTGTCCCAGAGAAACTTGATTGACTGGCTTTTGGGTTTGAAAGGCAAAAATATGACATATGAATTTAAAAGTTTCTATATAGAATTCCTTTGTTTTATCACCATTCTCCCTACCACACACTCTCTCACATAAATGTGAGCGCAAACACAAACATGTTCAATCATTCTAGGAAGAATTTTAGATGGGGAAAAAACCCCAAACCTTCAAAAAATACCATCTTCCACACATATATACACAAATCTCAATGAAAAGTCCTCTAGGGTGAGAGAAGGCAACACGGCTAAATGGTTTCTTCTCTGGAGCAAGAGACACTTCCCTGTTTCAAGGTTCTAGGAGACGTCAGAATCACACAGGCCTCACTTTGAGAGATCTTGCTTCCTACTTTGATTACACTTTGATTACACATGGACAACTCCTTTCCACTCCTTTCCGAGATAATTTCTTTCTAACAGCACTGGGAATTGTATTTCAGTGACTGCTTCTACCTTGCCAACAATGGCCGCCCCGCAAAGCCCCTTCCCTTCTGTAGTCATTTTGTTCCCATTTTTAAGCCTTGGAGTTGTCAATTCTGTCAATTCTTGAATTTATGCATCAATATGTCAGTAAGAGAGAGGAAAGAAACTGAAAATACTTCTTTTGAGAGCATCTCTTGCTACATTAACATGTGTTTTGCTGACATACTAATCTATAAACCTATAATTTCTAGCACTAAAGTTCAATGGACTATAAAATCTGCCATGCAAATAAAGAATTATTTACCATATTATTGAATTTGCTCTACTCAATTGCAGGTGTGTATGAATACAATAAATACTAAAATAATGATGTTTTTATGCCAGCCTTCACATCTTTTTTTTCTTTTTTTTTTCTTTTTTTTTTTTTACAATTTACCTGAAATACTCTAATCTCACTCCTAAATATGTATTTAGGAGGCAGTGATGTCTATCAATTGAGAAATAACAAAAGATAGCACTGTAACTTCTGGAAAAAAATATTTTTGACACATGAATTCACTAATTCAGGGAACACAGAAAGCTTCTGAATAATAGAAAAAAATGCTTTTTTTTCAAAGACTCATATAAATTTCATTCTTGATTCTTTGCAGGGAGAGGGAACTAGAAGATTTATCTTAATTTAAAAAACTGAGAGAAATTTAGAATTCAAATTAATCTAGTACTTGTTTTTACCTTGCAAATATGAAGTCCTACTCTCCTAGGAAATATGTTCTAGTGTACTAGTACAAAATGGCTATTAATTTACTAGACATGGGCATAATGGGATAGTACCAAGGATCCTTCAGCTTCCTCTTGTCATAACAAAGCAAACAGATTAAGTTTTCTTTGTGTTCATCTAATCCCTGTGCTAGTTTGTCATTAACTAAACAGTCTCAAAAGAATGGGCATTTAAAATTCAGCATTCTTATACCATCTAATTGATTACCCTTAGAATACAATGTTTTACCATTACATTACTGATTATCACTTGAAGAAAAAGATCCTAGCTCACACTCTTGCTTTATGCACTACTGTTAGAGCTTAATTTATGAAGCACAAACAAGAAAAGGACCTGCATTAACATAGCCCTTTGCACTTAGCTGTTTTGATAATAACATACCTAAATTTTTATTTTGCTTTCCAGACTTGCTGGGATTGTTAAAACATTAGTTTAAATGCAGATGCAAGCTTTTGCAGGCTTATGGCTAATATTGGTAAATTATTAAATTATATTTAAACCTAATTATCCTAACAAAATAAATAAACTGTTTTCTGCAGAAGTATAATGAATATTTATCAGCATAAGTCATAAATTAATTAATTCACTAAATTTTTATTTACAATTATTTTATGATCTTTAGCAATTCTTCTGATGAATGGTTCAGCAAAAGTCTTATGTTATTTCTAAGAATTTCTAATTACAGTCATAACAAAATAAGTGATGTGCATATTAAGAATGACAATCTATATGGACCTGTGTATTACTTCACAGATATTCAGCATAGAAAAAGTGTAATTGGATTTCTAACTTATTTTTTTAATTTAAGTTAACTTTTAAAAAAAACTTCCCTCCAACCCCAGCAAGAGCAGAGGATCCTCCTCAGCACTGGGGTCAGACACTACCCCCAGGTTCCTGCATCAGCAGGGAAGACACTGCTCCCTCTACCAAGAGAAAAATGCTTATATTTGCTGCCAAAACTTATGCAGTTGAGACAAATCCCATCTAAAGTTGTAGCTGAACTACACAAGACATCAAGACTGTGTATTCACGTCAGCCATACGAGTTCTGAAAGAAAGCAACACATTCAGTTTTGCAAGCTGCCCCTAACTGAAAGTTGTATCTGTGGGAATGAAGAATGAACTTTTAAAGCAAAAAACTTAATCAAAGAGTAGTTTGAGTTACAAGATAGCATAAAATTAACCCTGAAACAAATTTTATGAGCACGCTATAAGAGCATTGTGGATTATACTTGCTTATATTAAAGTACAGCGCACTCAACTATTTAGAACTGACATCAAGCCAAACACCTCTATTAAATCATTATATATACATTTCTATGTACAAATAACTACTCTATACATATTAAAGATCCATAAAGGCATACTGGACAAATCATTTAATTTGAGAAAATTGGTGTATAGACATACACTCAGTATCTCTCAGTAATTACATAAAAAACCTGCACATTCCACCTGAAAAAGAAAGATAGTAAGACAGTGGTAAGAAAGCTAGAAAAATACTTGTCCATAAACTCACCAATGTATATCTGGAAGTATATCCTTTCACAGAGAAAATCTGAAATTATTAGCCATTGCTAAAATAACAGCATTTCCTTCATTCTCTGAGAATTACTGATGATGTATAAAAGAATATTTTAGGTGTTTATTTTCATGGGCCCTCATTTTTACTCCACCCATTTTCCCAAGAATGCAAGCCATGAGTAAATAAGTGATGCCCTGTGTTCCTTGCTGTGCAGATGATGCTGTAAGATCTTTTCAGGCAGTTGCAGCAACTTGAATCTTCCAGCAGAATCCCTGGCCCCCACCAGCACAAGCCACTGAGCCTCCCCTCTCTCCTGCCGACCGCAGCACCACTTTCTCACTCACAGCCCCTGTGGCAGCCTTTTGCAATGAGGTAGCTCATGAATACTAATAATCTCCTAAACACATAATAGCTCTGGACCAAAGGGAAGATATTTTTATAATGAGAAACATTACATTTCTAAAAATGAGCATCTTGTTATTAATATTATATGATATATAATCAATAAATACAATTAATTAATTATCTATTAATTTCTCTGGCATTCTAAGAAAATAT